CAAGAAATAATAATAATAATAATAAACAATACCGATTTTCATAGCGATTCTTGCGTAATGAGTCGTCGTTACTTTCTTACACACAAACAAGAATCATTTCAACCGAGTACTTTATTTACTAAAACAGGTAATTCTTGTCAGGTCAAATAAAAGAAAGAAAAAATCTTTAGAATTTAATCGCCAATGATCATCGAACGGATGTTTACGCAACTCGCCCTTTCCTAAAGGTCATTACCGGGTATTATTCAAAGTGATGGAATACATCTCCGTTTTTTTTTCCCTTAAACCTATTGTATGGGGATTTCTCATTTTTACCTGTCGATCGAAAGCGACACTTTTGTCAAGCATTTTGCCTTCAAAAATACAGCTTCTGCAACCAAGCAAATAATAGATTAACAATGCGGATCATTGGATGGCAATCAATTACGTTAATATACATACAGTAAATACATACATACATACGTCGTCATGCTTGTTATAACCGCATAAACCTCCACGAATCGAAATATGTATTGCTGAGCTATGAGCCACATGGTAATTTCCTAATGTGAGGAAACATTAACTGCTTACATTTAAGTTTATGGGTTAAATATAGAACATTTATAAAATGGGAACCAAAATTATGTATATACTGCACATTATTGGTTGGGCTGTTTGCTCATCATTTATCCGTTGTTATTAATAAATTGGTGGCATCAAGTTGCGTCTTCTTCGGTTCTTGGGTATCCGCCAACATCGCTCCGAAATGAATATGACTTTGACATGCGGTCTGTTCGAAGAGCGCGCATTTTTCGATGGTGAATGAGCAAAGAAAGACGGTTATTAAGTGATATGAGTACGTAAATTGTTCCTCTGTCTTCGAATTTACGTATTACGTATAAATTTATTAGGTGCATTGCAAATTATATAATGCCGTGTAACCACCACAAATTTCGATGGAAAATCTATACAGAAATTTCTCCTGTGAAGATCGACCAAGTATATTATGAAACACATGCTTCATATAATCAATGAATCATTCTAGTGAAATACTATATCGGGAAAATGCACTCCAAAAAAAAAAAAGTTATAAATACTTCACTACATCGCGTGGATAATCATAACATCAACAACAAAAAAAAAAAAAACTTTACGCATCGCGTGAATAATCTTTGCATTTCGATAATTTCGCCAACAAAAAAAAAAAGAAAAGATGCCAGAATTCAGAAACCTTCATAACACCTCCACCCTCATAATCAGCGCTGCTTCCTACGGGTCTTCTTCAAATTGCCTCTTTGCTTCGCCGATTATGATATTCCCCGATGAAGTGGTCAGCGAGGAGCCTGCCAACATTGAAAACGAAGAGGTGAGCGATTCTGGATGCTTCATCCAATCCCCCATGGATCGTAAAATGGAACGTTACAGAAAATTGAGAGCCATGCACGAACGAGCTGGTCGTCTTCCTAAAAGTACTGTCCCTGAAAACGACTCGAGAAACAGCAGTCAATCATCAACTTCTAGTGATCGTAGCAATTCGGAAAATTGAAATTCAGAAGAGAGAACACACACACAAAAAAAAAAAAAGATGCTGGTGATTAACACTTGGGACGACGACGCAAAGGCTATGTGCACGCAATGACGATTGGTGATTGAGTTGCCCGTTCGCACCAAAATCCTCATCCTTACTTTCAGTCATATCACTCTGATCGATTTCAGCGTGCAAATTGTTTGGTTTGCACCATCAATTGGTGGTGGCATTTGGAGTTTTGTTAGTGACACGTAGCAGCGGTCATAGCTTTTCATAAAAGAAAAATTAATCGGCGTACGCCGCCGAATCGGATTTCGCCGATTAATATGAATTGCTTCTTTGCCGCGTTTTAGACGACAAAACTGATTGTTTCCTAAAATATATGTTTATTTGTACTATCAAAATTTTCAAAAATTATAATTAATAAAAATTCATGCAAGAGTTCAATGATAATATTGTCCAAATGAAAAAACGAAAATTGTGAAATTCTGATGTCGAACATGAATGGACTTTACTGCGCCACACATTACAGAACAGTCCGGTCATTTTCCAAAACAAAATGTTTGCGACTTCTTTGTGTGCAAAATTTTTTGACAACTTTCATGGTTAAATGCGTATCATGTGTCCAACTTTGTCTTTCTTGGGTTACTATCTGAATTTGACATTCAATCTCCGTAACCTCCTTCTTTTCCTTTGTTCTTTTATTCTTTATCCGCTTCGAAAAGGATCCCTTTTCCGCTTTTGTTGTAATGGGCGGCATGTTTATCCATCCATTTGTGCTATGATATATTACACCATGCAACGATCAAACAAGTTCACAAACAATAATAAAACCGATGCGCGCCTTTTTCTTTTACTTTCTGTTACAGACAATCATGCTGTCGCATAACAATGATACGTTACCGAATTGCACAAACCTTTCATCCTTATTTTCTGCGTGGAATATATCTACCAATTGAAGCGACAGTGAGTACGTTACAACTTCCTTTATTGATTTTTCATTTTATTGGTTCATTTTAAGTTAACCGGCGTTCACATTTTTTGTACACGAACTCCGGCCTATAGTGCATTCAACGGTGTTTTTAATTCTAATTTGTGTTCATCCGCGCCGCATTCGAATTTCGGTGTAACAGGGTTTTGTGTTGGACCCACCCGTCAATGGTCACGCGGACTGTTGGGGGAAAGCTCCGTCAAACAGGAAACGGAGACATGGGAATGGATGGAATGAATGAGTGAATGAATAAAAAAGATGTGGGGTGGCCCCTTGTGGAGGTTCATCAAATAATTTTCGTAATAAGTATTAGATGGTTGTCTATTTGGGAGTTCATTTTGATTGACCCAAAAGACGTTTCTTTTTTTTTTTTTTTCATTTTTGCCTAGAATCATTATAATTTTGACGTTTCAATGGCTCAAAAAGATGCGGCCCTGTAAATAGACGAACATTAATGGCAATCAACAACAATTCGTTGAAACATATGAAACATCAAAAGAATTTAATTAATATTTGGGGTGATTACGACGACGCAATAATTCGAACATTCCAGGATCTTTTAGTTCAAATACAGCACATCTTTGTGAAATTGTTTTGGCGGATTATGTAAGGAACGAATGAATCCGGTGCCAATTATTGAAAATGCATTCGAATAGAAAGAGAATGCTTTTGAAATGTACCGAATAGTATGTCGCATAGACCGTGTATCCAGAATAATGCGTGCATATAACCGTACATGGAAAAAAAAAATAAGAACGAAATTTTTGGCATGCAAATTTCGACCTCGAAATCACAAAATGATTGGTTTCTATTGCACACACGAATCCTTTGCGAATATAGAACCTGCAACTATTCTTTTTAGGTAATAAGAAAATTTTGACATGCAAATTTCGACTTCGAATTCACAAAATAATTGGTTTCTATAACTCTCACGAATTATTCGAGAATACCGAATCTGCAGCTATTTTTTTTTTTTTAGGCCAGATGTTTGTTTTATATATATATACATGCATGCATTTTCTAAAATGATAATAACTTATTAATATAACTATTTATTGTTGAATTGTTAATAATTCAAACCGACAGAACACCCGATCTTAAACCAATAATAAAAAATGCTTTCCAAGTCAAAATATCTGTAGTTTCTTGATACTTTTTTAAATTTTGTTATTGCAGCTTTATGCATTGAACAAATTATTTTAGATGGATTGTAAAATTTAATTTATTTACTTTTTTTTTTTTAAAGATCATATGACGATATTCAAAATAGTATTAAGAAACTCCAAATATTCTTGACGTAAAAAACATTTTTCATTGTCACTTAAGACATATTATTAACTTGAATTTTTGAAAAGTTAATAAAAAGATTTTTAACCATTTTTTTATTTAAAATAACCAAAGAGCATTTCAAGTTTTTTTTCTATTTTTTTTCTTTTATTTACAATTTTCATAACACAAAAATTTGACTTATTATAGTAAAGTAAAATCCAACAAAAATTTTTTTTATCAATAATAATAAAGTTAAAATAAATGGATAAATAAATTAGCGGTATCATAACTTAAAAATCTTTTTCAATAAATAAAAATATGTTTATATTATATAAAAAATTTTTTGTGATAAAAGAATTAAAAGAAAGAATTTACTGTGTATGGATCATTTGTTTTTTATTTTATGTTTCTATTTTATTTTTTAAAAAATTTTCTGAAAAATCTTATATACTATATCTCAGTTTAATTTTAAAAATTTTAATATTATTGATTTTTTAATATATTAATTTACTCTATATTTTGAATAAAAATTATATTTAAAGATCATCTGAATAAATATTATCTTATATAGTCTCAAAATTTATAGATTATAAAATAATTATAAAAATCAACTATTCAAATTTTTATTTTTTATTTTTTTTTATTTTTTTTTTTTTATTTATTAACCCTTAGTCAGGCCAGCATAATGCATTTATTAATCATAAATAACAAAACTACGTGTGATACATTGGGCAAATATATCTTGACTAAATTAAATCTCATGCTGACTCACTCGTCACTTTCAAATCTCAAATGAGCTTCAAGCCTCTAAGTGCGACCTTGGGGGCAATATTTCGCTCCGGAATTAGTTTTGGGTAAAGATCCTCCTAACTTACCCATTATTGCCAACAGGTTATTATTGCCGATTATCCTCCAAAAAACTGATTTCTAGAAACTACAATAAGGGAAAGGGAAAATAAAAGGAAGGGAAATATCTAAAAATGCACAAATGTGCTACATGAAAAAAAAAGAAAAAGAAGAAAATAAAAGTGCTCCATGTCTTCCAAAGAACCTCTACTAAAAGACTTTCTCTCATTAGGAAACAATCCTTCTGAGATGTTCTTCTTCTTCCTGACCATCTGAGGAACTTATCCATTCGTAACCTTGATTATTTTTTTGTAACCGTCTGAGGTACTTATCGTCTACTCGGATCCAGCTTCTTGTTCGTCACTTCCTTTCTTTCGGTATTGATTTTTTATCCACCCGCGCAGACCTTCACAGCTTATAGTGGACCCCAAGTTCTTATGTAACCTTTCAGTCATATTGTGTAACTACCGATATCTTTCAGCAGCCATGTCTAGTTAAAGAAATTTTATTGGTATATATCTTCCATTGTCCAAAATAGTCATTCTACAAAAATCTTTTTATTTTACAATGGTGGGAGGGTACCAGAAAAGTAGTGGGGATTCTCATCGATTATGATATCATTACACAATATTTGGAGAAATGTATTCTCAATCCTAGAGAAGGGTAGTGGCTCGCAGTCTTTTGCTTTTCAGTCTTATTGCCTGACCGGGATAAGGAAATAACCTTCTTCACGTACTTTGCCTGACTGGAATGATAGGAAGTTGAAGACCTCAGCTTGAACAAATAACCACCTTTTCATTACTTAGGGAATTTAGTATCCATCCTAATGGTCTTATAGTCTTTTGTTTCAGTTACACTTCATTTGAAGGAGTGGAGGATTGCGCACCAATTCATTCTCTTTCATTTCACCAATGACGTCATCGGAACACGTGAATATAGCCTATGGAACCTTGTTTACATCTTGCTACCAACGTGTTTATGTTAGCCAATCAGAAACCAAATGATGTTATGCTATCAAGAATTTAGGGTTAAGCTGAGGTAGGCAAAATTCCCCAAAAAACTGTGAAAAAACAGTAGATACTCTAAGAGAGCAAGAGACAGTATATAAAAAGGTGGATAATAAGCCTTCCCCTGCCTAGAAAACCTCTATCTCCATATCATCCAGCTTTTAAAAGAAGACACTTCACAAGTTGGTCCTTTTATTTCCTAGAACCTTCTTGCCTTTAGTAAAGGAAGTATGTACTTGAGGCTATTCAGGTCACCAGAGACTCAAGTTTTTAGTCAAAGGAGTTTATAAACAAATAAAGGAGGGTAATAGTGACTTGTGAAAACAAGCTTCAAGTTGTTTTAAGTGAAGTGGAAAGACTTTATTAGCCAAGAAGAATAAAATCTTCTTGCGAATATCTTTTTTGTATGTGGTCAGAGGTTCAGCAGAAAAAGTTTATTAACTATTCAAATTTTTATTTAATTAAAATAAATATACTGTATATATATAGTATATATATATATATTATCAAAAATAGCTTTCTTTTTAAATACACAAATTTAATAAAAAAAATTTTTTTAAAAAATAAATTTAAATTATTAACTTACAGTATATTAATTATATTATAAATTTTAATAAAATTATTAATTATTAAAAAAAAATTAATATTTTTTATTTTTTTTATGTTTTTTTTTAATTAAAATAAAATAATTTTATAAAATTAATTATATTAAATAATTTAAATTCTTAAATACAAAAAAAATAATTTTTTTAAACTTGTCCTTTTTTATTATTTTAGTTCAATTAAGTTCAAAATCGATTTTTTTTAATTGAACTATAAAATCAAGTTATATTAAACTGCATTTTTTGAACATAATTAAAAATACATTTTTATAAATATAATAAAAAAATATTAAAATTATAAAG